AAAAAATCATTTTGAAACAAAAGGATAGGAATTCATTTCCTTCCCCTTAAGTCCAACCAAACACACCCTTAGATAATTAAACTCATCAGCAGCAAAGTTGGAATCCCCACCAAAATGGGTACTAAAATAGTATGACACTCCCTATATTAGTTCACCTGACTATTTATTGGCTCAGTAAATGCTCCCTGCGTCCCTTAAGAAGCTTCACATTTTGATTTAGGATGTTTGACCTATGTAGCACTGAAACGGAAACGGGGACGGAGACGAAACGAAACGGACACGCCGAAACGGCTATTTTGAAAAAATGAAGAGACGAAACGCTGGGGAAACGCCAAATTTATATATAAAAATTATATATATAAATAAAATTATGTAAACAAATTCACAATACATAACATATTTTAGTCATTACAAAACATATTAAAGTATAAGTTCACAAGACATATTATAATTTAGTCAGTACAAAACATATTAAAGTATAAGTTCGAAAGAGATAGCATAATTTAGTCATTACAAAACATATTAAAGCATAAATAAGTTCAAAATACATAACATAAAATCCAGAAGTCACTGACCGGCGACGTAAGCTTCTCCCTTTGTCAGCGAGAAGCTTATTTGGAGAGAACACTTCACCTGATGTCGCGCCCTTTGTCGGCGAGTAGTTGGCCAACCAGCTGCGTAAAGCTTCTTCGAGGGCCGCTGTCTATTGTCGATGAATATGATAGCCGCGTAACACAGAGGAGCGATGAAGATTTAGGGCCAGATAATACTTTTTATAATTTGAGTCAGTTCCAAAACTTTTAAAATTTATAAAAAGAACCCCATTTTTTAAAAAAGAGGTGTCTCTGCCGTTTCCCAAAAGAGACACGCGTGTCCCAGCTGTTTCCTTGGAGTTTTTTTCTCTTTTTTAAAAATTAAAATTACAGAAACGCCACGTGGAGTTTCCGAGACATCTCCAGGCATGTCCGTGGCGTGTCGGCGTGTCCAAGGTGTCCGAAACGGGTACGACAGCCTATATGGAGTTTCCGTGCAACATAGTGTTTGACCGAAGTTAGTTTTAATTTAATTTATTTAAATATTTGGCTAAATTTAAAAATAAAATTTAAATGTACTTAAAAACTATATAAAGTGTTCTACAAAGCACGCAGTGACAAGACTTATTGTAACAAAAAAATCAAGTAAATACAAGTAAAAAAACATGATATAGTTTGACCCTTTGAATAGTGACTATGAAGTTTATTTAGGGACAGAGGGAGTACCTTGTTAATGGGAAAAGTAACTTTTCAACTGGAAGATTATAAGTCTAAATATTCCAAAATGTTATTTAAAGTAGAGTATTTAGCCAAAATTTTCCCTAAGCTTCCCTCTCCTCCAAATGTTAATTAGGAGGAGGCATTTTCAGTCCAACATATAAAGAACATCTTGGACCAAAATGGAGGGGATTCATTTCCCTCTCCTCCAATCAAACTAAGCAAACCCATAGACAGTTCAACTAATCAAAAGCATCATCTATTTCAACTCATCTTTCCCGTTTTGATTTGGCATGGAGATTAAGAAAAGTTAAAAAGTGTAAAGACTTTCCATGTATTGCCCTTGATGTGATGGAATAAAGTGAATAGTGTAGATAAAAAGTAGGCGTATGATGGTATATTCATTAAAAGTTTTTTGCCAAAAGAGGAAATGGGAAAGAAATTTTTGGACGGCCCAAAAAGGAAAGTGAGAAAGAAATTAATGGACGGAGGGAGGGAGTATTTATCTTAGGATGTTAGCATACATCACTCAGCTACAGTTAATAAGCACATTTTGGTGGTACACCTTAATTAGGATAAAAGATGTAACAACTAACAATGTAAAAAACACTAACCTGAAGAAAACCCTACTTAGGCAAAGATGAGGTAGCAGGCGTATTTCGAGAACCATCTCTATTCTCAATCTCGGGTGCAGCTAGAAGTGTCATGTGAGTACAGTCGGGTGCAGTTGACAAAGCAGAGACGGTAGTCAATAGAGGAGAAGCCTCTAATTCTCCTCCATCTTTTCCACAACCTACAATTCAAGTCTTTGGAATGAGCACGCTATTAAAAAAAAGTTGGTGTTGGCTATCCAGGAAAAAATGCAAAAATGTGGGAAAGACCTGACTGAGAAGTCGTGGTAGCAGCTGCAGGCGAAGGGAAAGAACTTCCTGTTCCTTTTTTCATCCTTGACTGCAACGTGAGCAGAACAAATATATTAGGTCCTTAGATTTTGTGAGTGTGTGTGTGTGTTTGGTAGAGCTTATCACGGAGCTGATAGCTTACTTTAAGCTCATGAGCTATTAATCCTGTTTGGTAGTAGTAAATAGAATTTACAGGGTAGACGTCTGCATGAACCTCTAATTCCTTTATTTTGAATATAAGCCCCATACCCGTTAAATCAGAATGTTTAAAAGAATTAAAACTTCTTCAAGGAAGTTCTTTTCTAATAGCTTGAGTCAGAATAGATTTTTTTGAAAATGTCAGAATTTGGTCATAATCATGTTCCCTACGATTCCTTATCACATACAACACCCCAGAGCTTTTCATCTGTTTAGAATAATAATAGGTCGGGGGGGGGGGGGTGAAGAAAACCGAAGGAGTTGGACTTCAGCTAAGATGCGATGATTAAAATAAGAAAGAATGACATTAGAAAAGAATGAGAAACACTACAAATTACAAAACGAAACATCATATACCTAGGCAAAAACAAACAAACAATTCAGTTGGCATATATACCTTCAAGTTTTCTTCACAGTACTTTACCGCGGACGAGACACCCAACGTAACTGGTACGTTCTCACACATCCGGGTGTTTTCTTCGAAAGCACTTCATAAGTTTAGTTCATATAGTTGGCGAAGATACGGTCCAACTTATATACAAAGACGACGATTGACTTCACCGTTACGTATTTCACAATACGGCCTACCTTCTTTGCGTGTTCTCCACAGGAACATCTCTAATATTCTTCTAAAGTTATCAAAAGAAGCAGTCTCTAAATCATCATCTGATGCTCTCTTGATTATAACATTCTTGATCTTAAGCAACAAAGGGTTCCATTTTTTTTCAAGATTCTGCATGTGATCAGGGTCGTCCGAAGACGAACTCCATAGCTCATCTGGTTGCATATCAATACTCAAAAGATGTGTGTTTTCTAATCCAGACTGATTGAGAGATTGAGTTTCACTTGGAAGTCTTGCATGTAGTGGTGTGATCAATGCCATGCTAATTACAAGAGATTGACACCAAGCAACTGAAACATACTTGTAAACTTTTGCAAAGTTACTATTGGACAACTTTGGGTTCTTTAAACGCTTCCGTATCTTTTCATGTATTGCTTCAAGTGTCTCTACCTTGAGATTTTGCTTCAATAATTGGACATATTGATTGAGATATCTGTACCATAAAAATAAATTAGTATCATGCAAATGACCCACTTCTTTCACATAATTAGAAGTGAGATTTTGGAACACAAATAACATAGATAGTACTGCAAATCGGCAACTATGTTAAGACAAGATTTTATAAAACATAAATATAATCAGAATATTTACAACTATATCATACATAGTAATATTTTTCAATGAATTGATATTTCAAATACATATACTAATTTCAATTTTCATGGATTGCATGGAAGCTAAAACAAGTACAATTTTCATTTCAATTTATTTAAAAATTGAAAATTGGTATAGAAAAAAAATTGCATATTTAAAACTATGTCAAAAGTTCTACAAAAGAAGAGGGGACAAGAATATTTTATTTTATCAAATAATCAATGAAAACACACAAATAAATAAAAGTTACCGTGATTATGGAATAGTGCAGTGTGCAATCCATTTTGGGGCAAAAAGAGTATTAAAATGAATTGGTCAAGAGTACTTCCATATTACAAAGTAGCAAGTATTAAGTTTACAAAAAAACAACGGTCAAAGTTATCAAAGCTTGATTTGAACGGTCAAAGTCTGAAAATTATTTTGGACATAGTGAATATGAAAAAAATTCTAATCACTTACCCAAATAAGTGTATTTCTGTCATGTCTCGGCTCTTAATTTCCGGAAAGCTACAAATATCTGACCATAAACTGGTTTGTTCCAAGAACAGATGGAACATTTTCTCCAGAAGATGTTCTGCAGATTTCTCATTGGGGCCAGTAATATCACGTAGACACAAAACTAATGCCATTATGTATCGCCCAAGAGCAACTGGAATGAGATCTTCAAGGCATATAGAGAACTGTAAAACACAGATTTTCCTTAGACATGCACCAATTGAATTAAGTTCACTGGAAGCTTGAAACTACATTTTCTCCAACTTTCCTTAGGTTCGTAAGCATCTTTAGAAAACACTAGGCATGGAATTCAAAATGAAAAATAGAAAAAAGGAAGATATAGCTCCATCCTCTTAATTAGTGTGATCATTATAATGAACATCAATGTTTTAGATATGACATTTGCTACTGGGATGAATTAAAGCATTTTTATAAATAGTATAAGTAAAGGCAAATGGCCTTTAGAATTAGTTAGAAATAGTAAGGTGTTTGTTTGGTTTTTGTCTCCCTTTTTGGTTTACCTTGTTAAATTGTACTAACCCTTGTCTTTTGTGCTTGAGCCGAGAGTCTTTTGGAAGTAGGGGTAAGCTCTGTGTACACCCCCTGCCTCCATGACCCCGCTTGTGGGATTTTATCGGTTGGTTGTTGGTGCCTTGTTGGTAAATATTGGATTAGATAAAAAAGGCACAAAAAAATTCTTTTCCCTGCTTCTTACTTTCTATGAAGTTTGGGGAAGTAAATGCAACAATAAATGGATTTAACAAAATCAGCCTTTATGTTATTATATGGGTAAGGTTGCATACATGTTGGCACCCACCCCCCCCCTTTGGACACGTAGTGAAGAGAAGTATGGATGCCCCAATGAGAAGGTGTGAGAGGCTTGAGGTAGAGGGCGTAAGGAGGTGTCGAGGAAGACCTTAAAAAAAATTCCAAGGGTGATTAGACATGACTTACAACTTCAGCATCTTATCGAGGATATGACCTTAAATAGGAGCGTCTCGAGTGGTAGGGTAGACCCTGGGGCCTTAGTTTGTACTTTATGGGTGTGTACTGTTGTGCCTACGTTTAGAGTTTTGGCAATTGTACATGTTTTTGTGTTCTTACTTTTCTCATGCTACTTTCCTTTATCGTTGTGCCCCTATGTTTTGAGCAGGAATTTCTTGGAAACAACCTCTCTACTTTTCAGGTAGGGGTAAGGTCTCCCCAGACCCCACTCTGTGGGATTTCAATGGGTATGTTGTTGTTGTTGTTGTTGTTGAAATTGAGTTTAATACCCTTTTGTCTGCCCGGAGAGAAATATAAGCCCGATCAAAGGTGGACACGTCTCTTGTCTCCTCCAGCAATCTCAAATAGAACAATATGTACTTGCGGATGCAAGTAATAAACTTCCTTGAACTTTCAGCAAGGTTAACTTCGAGGGCTCTCTTGTTCCCTGACACACCAGACGTTTTGCGCCTGTGACAAACAAAAGTTAGATAAAGCATGTACTGGTACAGCATAAGACAAAAGGGTTGGGTACCAAACACTTGATTCACCCAGTCCTAAAACACCCACCTATACCAATGAGTATGCTACAAATCCTGGATCACATAACTATGTAAGCTTCAACGAACCTTATTCACATGTCTGGTGAACATTAAGTTCAATTAAAAAACAGCCAACATGATAAATTACTAATGAATTTTTTTTGGACTCTACATCGCTGAAGATAAACCTCTGATCAAAGGCAATTGACATCACCATGAAGCTCGCAATGCTATGTGAGCTGGGGCTGATGTTATAATATGCCCTTTTATGAACATGACCTTGGGTTTTATAGTTTGAAAAGTTAAAATACAAATATTTTGAGTAGATTTCTTAGCTAAAAAACTGTCGTGTGACTTCAAAATGTCATATCCTCGGAAATATCAACTGTTGCAGAAAGAACGGATATAGACTCAAATATGCATATTTCGGAGCTTATACACAGATTCTTTTAACCCTTCAAATCAAGTGAAGTTAAACTCAATCAATCATTTGTGTTAGGGTCTTGTCTGGTAGTTGACACATGCTTCCACCTTACTGGCTACTGCTGAGTGGTGGATCTTTGCCACCAATTCTCCATCACATCCCCATTTCATTATTTTATTAACTATAAAGATTGAATGAAAGAGAGTATTTCAGCTGTTACAAAAAAAACTCATACTTAACAAGAAAGCATGTAAAAAAAGTGTAAACACTTGCCTTCCTTTTTTCACTGTACTGTCAATCTCCCACATGTTTATTGTAAAGGAAGAACGGTGTGATTTAAAGCAGAACGAAAGTTCCTCCTTTGCCCTCTCCAGATCACCGTCCCCATTTCTTCTGTACAATCCTTTAGAAAGCATATACCTAGCCTTATGGAAATGTTTAAGATCCCCTTCTACACAAACTTCAAGGGCTGAAAGGCAATCTCTATAAAGCATATGCCAAACCTCTTCAAGTTTGTGTAAACTCACTATCCTTTTATTCTCACAGCAAGCATTAGAGCTGATATCCTCTGTAGACAAAGATGGCAGCATTTTAATGCCAACTTTGTGAAGGGCATCCACTGCAGCTTCCTTTGTAGATTGATTGAAAGAATATGTAGCTACAACCTGAATGCATTCAGCAAAAGCTATACATGAGCATCCAGTAAAGACGAAGATAAACAAAAACTAATCAAAAAGTAAGGAGCATTAAAGATAAGTAGTTAACTCCTCTGACGACTACTTTTTAAAATATTGGAGTAACATAACCATTTGATACTACGGAGTATTACTTAAAAAAACATAATACCTTTAAAGCATCTTCATTTATCTTTTCGCATGTGATAAGTAACTTCAACCTTGAAGCATGCATCCTGTAGAATGGATCTAAAGCTGATGGGTTCAAGGCCATGGATTTAGCATAGTACGAGAATGCCATATCATTTGAGTATCCAAGCTTCTCGCAAAGTTTTCCCAGGTAAAATGCATGAGACCAATCTTCCCTGAGGTTACAGGTCAGGTTACCACTTCAAATCTAGAACTAATATAAAAGTAACTTGCTATGGCAAGTAAGAGAACAAACTTGTGTGCAGACGCCTTCTGGAAATGCATCATTGAGTTTTTACAGTACAGAATCCAAGCTTCATCTTTGGATGGTACAACAGATCTTTGATCATTGAAAGGTACTACATTCTGAAGGCCATCATAATACACTAGTGCCAATAACTCATGCAGCTCAGCCTGAAACCAGATAAATAATCATGAGTGTAATAGGTGGACAAATGCAAGAGAAGTTGACACGGGGAACTATACCTGTTGAGCTGCTGTCTTTGCCAGAGCTAAGGTCATCAATAAGCACCGCCTGCTCCTCCTTCGGCTTGCTTCAACTCTCTCTGGTAGCTTAGCATTATTCCTCCATCCCGTGACATTTATTTGCTTACTACCATCATTAAGCAGTAACTCCACCTCCTACATGGCCAGAACACATCACGTAGTGTCAACTCCCAATCCTTTTTCTAAAAAAGATTTTCTTAAAATATGAACCATCTCCACTGATGGAGGGCAAAGATTTACCTCATCATAGATGTTTCCAAGCTGCTTCCAGCTCTCCAAGCGGAATGGATTGTATAGTAAATCATATTTGAAAAGATTTGCATTGTGTTGCACGAAATCTTCCCCTTCCTTGGTAAGAACAAAACCAGCCCATTTATCAGTTGCACTAAGTTCTTCAGACTGAGCAAGAAGATAATATAAACTGCTATAAACTTCAAGGTATGGATCCGATCTGCATATCAATATATCATACTTTACAATCCTGATTTAGCCATTGGTACAATACACCTTAGTTAATGTTACAAATGACTTTGCGCATGTATGTACCTCTGTTCAATAGACACTTTATGTTGCTTGAGGCCTCCAGGGTCTGAAAAAATTATATTCATCATGGAAGCAAGGAAGTCATTAGATCCTGCTTCCTCTGAAAGTTTATCTTCACACAAATCAGGATCATCCAAGAATCTATCGATTGCATTTCCAGCTAAAAAATCATCAGGGGGTTTTGTGAACTGTTTGTAAATAGCTCTTAGAACCCTTCGAAGTTTGGTCAGTCCAGTTTTCTGATTGAGACCCAAAATTAAAACAATGAGGGGTTACAGCTTTGAGGAGCTGAGCACAAAAATACTACACATTTTGATTTATAATTCAAATACTACCAATTTTTTCTTTTGTTTTCATTTTCATATTGGAAGGGGTATAAAGGGGTCAGTAGAGAAGATACTCACAGAGCAAGCTTTGGCATAGGGAAGTAAGTATTGGAAAACATCAGCACATTGTTCCTTTGTCTGATAATCGCACTGGCTCCTGTTCTTGTGGGTGGCTAAGTCATCTTCATAAGATGAATCAGACCTAAGATTCAGACCGTACAAGCAGAAAAAACACTGGTTTAAGGCATTGTCAATCCTGTTTTCAAGCTCCTCCCTTTCAGCTGCAGTCAGTTCAATCTCACATTCAAACGAATAATTTGCTTTCCCTAATCTAGACCCCTCACCAACTTCTCTCTTCTCACTTTCTAAACAATTATCAGGGGAAGTTTTGCCATTATAAATGTTAGCTTCAGCTACACCTTTCTGGGCTACTTCCACATTCAGCATATCCAAGTTCAATTCATTCAGTGAGCTTTCAGAATGGTTATAGTGAGAAAGCTGCTCAGACCTTTTGGCATGTGCAGACTGTGGATCAACCTGAGAATTATGCTTAAGCTTCATATCCAAGGCCAAAAGGTGTTTTATTGTGAATTTCAAAAATGTTCCTTCTTCCTTTTCTCCATCCAAGCGAGCACAGCAGAGACCGAACTCAGCAAGCATGTCATGGACTGCCACAATCAACTCTATCTGGTATAAGCATTTTAAATAAATCAAACCAATTTTGAACAGTTGGATGAACTGAATTGAGATATTTATGAAATTCATATCTTGCGGACAAGATAATATCTGCAATTGTGCACCTCTACAAGAACACTGAAATCTAAAGATCCTTCATATCCAAAGCAAAAGACATGTCACACCTGAGATTTAATAGGCACATTGGCAATTGAGTGTTGAAGTTTACAGAAAGCAATGGCAGCATCAACAAAGTAGCATCTATTGTTTGGTTCACTTCGATCTGAACAGTCCATCATAGAGGATCTTTGACGTAAATATGTGTTGGCGATTTTGCACATAAGCCTTAACAGAAATGAATGAATATCGCCAAGAATAGTTGTTGGAACATGAACATTCTGCAAGGAAAAATGCATCATATGCATATAGCAGTGCAGGCTGTGCAGCTCAACTAGTTTTTGCAAAGAGATATGGCACTTTACCTAATGACATAAATATATGCAATCATCTATTTAAAAAAGATGTCTTAAATTAGATAAAAAACATAAAAAAAAACTTCTCTCACACACAAACATGTGCGCTATGTAAGTATGTATGTGCAACAGATACACTGTAATCTGTATAGAGTCAAACCTAAGATAACACTTTAATTGCCCAATGCCAATCCCTTGCTGATCACTGTGATTTCAAATTATATATGTGGCCGCAGAGCACTCAAGCTGAGAGCCACATTACTTCCACATATTTTGGTTGCATGACAACTTTAGAAACTATTAATCCATCAAACACACAAACGCACTCCGAAATACAGAGGAAATTGGAAGAAAATTGGAAGAAGCAAAGAAGAGATATAGATGCAATGAATGTTTTAACATAGTTTATAAGCGCTCGTGGTGTAATAAGCGGTGTGTAACATTCTAACAATCTTTAGGCAATATTTTTTTAGTACTATTAACTCTATTACAATGTACTAATATAGTATTTGTCCATACATAGTTTCTCAACCTACTGAAGCACAAAGAGTCAATGCCCCCACTTGAGTTCGAACGTATGACCTTCCATTTGGGAGAGCCACAGTTATGCTACTATACGAGAATACAATATCCTTGAATTCTTTAACATTCCAGATGGATTCATGGATTTTCCACTATCAATGATAGTCAACATTAAAAGCCAGAGCAGTTACAAAACTAAGGTCATGTTCTCTTCAACTTATTCTCATCACTTATTACTTATTCTTATTGGAATCAAATCAAAAAATTCAGATCATATAAAAAAGATTCAAACCATATGACATAAACCAGAAACATAGACAACTTTAACTTTAACTGGATCAGATCGGGTTTAGATCATACGAGAAAGATTTAGATCAGACCTTCATAAATTCTGATCAGAACCAATCAGATAAGACGAAGAGAACAAGCTCTGAATAAATGACCTCGTTGCTACAAGAAGTCCTAAACCAATGTCAAACACCCTAACTACACATTTTTCAAGGCTTTTCCAAAATCTAAAAAGGACTTGCACATATATAAAGGTCAAAACTCCAAAAAAACATTCATTTTGTGTTTTCTAGTATATTTTTATAACTTTCCCACATGTCAAACAAACACTTTCCCTTTAGGAATGAGCATATGTTAGGGCACATATATCCAATGCAAAATAAAGTTCACAAGCACATATAAAGTACAACAACAACAACAACCCAAATGAATCATATGAGGGGGTGTGTGTATGCAGAGTCACAGACCTTACCCCTACTCAAAAGTATGCACTCAAAACTCAACACGAAACAGCATCCAATAGTAAATCAATATTAACATGAAGAATAACATAGAAGTCGGGAAAAAAAACTGTGCACTTGCATAGTCTTGTTTAACAGCTCTGCAGGAGGATTTCTTACCACATACTGTGTTAGCAACAAAGAAACAACTGAAGTAGTATACTTGGATTTTGGACCAAGCTTAAAAAGTTGACCCATCTAATGATATGAAAATGAGATACAAAGATACATGATTATCAGAGTGGAAAACATACTGAAGTTGCAGACACAGTGCTCTTTATCCGCGTGGCACACTGGGAAATTGCCTTCACTTCTTCAGCAAATAAGTTGTGGTGTGGCATTGTTGGGCTTTCTCTTGATTCTGTTTCACCAGCTAAAGCAACAAGTATCTGTAATTTCCTTCGATGACATTTCAAGCAGACATCAATATTCATCGGTTCTATTTGTTGGCATGCCTTCAGTAAAACATTTATTGCAGATAGTTCGACGGAAGTAAACTCGTCACCTGAGCCACTTCCTTGACTGCTGATGCATAATGCACCCAAATGGACATCTTTTGAGGAAAATAGCAGAGGAGCAAGAATCTCTACGCATTCAGAGTGCAAATTCTCATCAATCTTTTTATTAATAGAATCCTTCAAAAGAAATTCAACCTCCAATAAGTGAAGTTCATGGAGAACCCTATCAACATTTAACTTTTTAATACTTTTGCAGTGAGGCAAGCAAACTGGCTGAGTGTCATTCTTATTTTCCTCATTTGTCAACAGTGCCAATGAAATGGAGAATTCTTCTTGAGCTTTGGTTTTGTCACCATCCAACTTTGATAGCTGCCCGCTTAACCAAAAATAACGAATCCAAAAGGGATAATTTTTCTTTAGAGTGCTGCCAGAACAGTTTATGTGAATTTCATCTACATCCACATCGTTAAGGTGTAATGGGTAATCTGATGCAACATTTTCAATAATCTTACAGAGATGATAAGATGCATGTGCCATGAAGAGTGTCATTGTTGATTTGTCCCTTGAGAGCACTACAGCATCATAATATAGCTCGGCAAGAAATAAGCAACATTCAGGAGTTCTTTCCTGACCCCAATGCCTTGTCAGCTTCTCTAAGTCCAAAAAATTAGTAATGCTTTCCTGATACAGAATGCCTCTAGCAGCGACCTCATGTAAAAGCAAGTGGCCCATGTGATATGCACCACAATTTCTGCTAGTTTTCTTGATGAATTTCATTACATCATTACATTCGTAGTAAAGAGATTCATCTGCAGTCTTACCTTGAAAAGAGCTACTAGTTTCACCATTACATTCTCCAATTCTAGATCCATTAACAACAAAAGGTTGTAGGAACTTTATTACAGTTGCAGCTAGATCCTTGTTGGCAATAAAATCTGATTCTTCTTTACCTGGCTTTCGACTCCTGAGTCGTTCAAGCCGGCTACTTCGCCTCTCTTGAGGTTGCTCCCCATAACTGACTGTTTCCTTTTCTCTTGGAATAATACATTTATCAGAGCTGCAATCACCATTGAAACTACTTTCATTGGCATGAGAGGAAATAGGTTCATTACTTTGTGCTGACTCTACACTCATTTGTGAAATTCCAGGTAATTGTATAGTAATTCTAGTGTCACGGGACCTATACTTTCCTTTTTCATGTTCAGAACCACATTCAGCCAATGTGCGTAATATCTTTAGGAGTTCACCAGCAAGGCCAGTGAAAGAAAGTTCTGGAAGATAAAACTCTGTGCATTGCTTCAACCTTTTATTCGCAATGTCATCCGGGTCATTTTCTATTCTTTTTCTCTTATCCGTAAATTTCAATCGGATATGCTTTGGCTCCAGCTTATCTATACCTCTCGGGGAGAAAGGAATTGGTTCAGACTCTTGAATAGTATTTTTAACATGCAAAGCACGAGAATGAGATGGCCAATGCCTTAAAATTAGTTCAGCGACAGAAAGGCATGCAACCTCATCACCAATAGCAATGAGAACCTCCAAGAGCTTTTCCATACAATTCCCTGCATATCATTCCAGATTCAAAAAAACCCATATTATGTCACCAACCACGACTTGAACTATGTGATTAATACATGTATCAACAAGTCAATTAGCCAATTAGATGGGTGATCTTGAAAGAATGTAATTAAACAGCCATGGCTAAAACATAAAAAGAGGCTATTACAAAGAAAACATAAGATATTACAAAAATGTCTAAATGTGCATACAATTATTGGGACTGCAACATAACCCTTGTTCAAATGCCCAGCGAGAAATGCTAAGTAACCCCATTGAGCAAGAAAGAGTTCCCAGCTGATTCCAGATTACAGAATCTTTTGTATCGATGTCAACAGCTTGAAGATAACACTGTAAAGCATTTTCGTAATAGGCAGAACCTTGTTGAAGAAAAACAGCAGCTAGATTCTTCAGTGCCAAAAATCTGCAGAGAAGCTAAATAAGCTAGGTAAGAGCATCTTTAGTGGGGAGAGCTTAAGATACACACATCGTGTATCTTAAATGGTCCCCAGTCCCCACAATGCCACATCACCTAAGCAACTCTATAAGAAACTCACATTTATTTTCCTTGAATGGTAAATGCAAGCAACTCACAACTCCATAGCACTATATCATTAAAATTGTGTTTCTATGCTAAATTATATTTGTTGTTAGTTTAAATAATAATTCTTTGCGTCTAAGATATGGTTGTTTGCACAAGCAACGGTGCTTATGAATAAGCAATTTTGGGTGCCACCTAGATACCTCTAATGGGAGCTTGTCATACAATACAGTTGCTTAAGTTAAGCAACTCCTCAAGCACCTACCATTAGAGGTGCCCTAATAACATCATAGAGATATCGTAGCATTAACCAAAGAAAACAACTCTTACACCTCTCATGTGAAAATTGAATTGAACTTGACTGTAATTTTGAACTGAATCTCAATTTTGCAATATCACATGTATCATATAAGCAAAGGCAACACTATTAAGCCATGCTCTCAAGTTTAGAAAATCCATTCACTTGACTGATGCCCCCCAAAATAAAATCTATTTTGTAAATAAACTAGAATAGCATTAACTAACATGAAAACATCAATACATAACAAGAATCTATCTAGAAAATTCAATAGCCACGTACCTAAGCTGTAAAAGATGGCCATCGGTGGAACTGCTGTTTCCCTGTAAAAGGTAGGGAAAACAAATTTTGGTAAGTGAAATCCTGGGAAATTTGGTAAGAAATTTATAGGCATAAAAACCCCAATTATGTACTATACCCTGTCAATTACAATTAAAGGGTCTTTCAAAACAGACTCTAGAAGTTCACGGGCCTTTTCATATTCTTTAGCTTGTAACTTTAGAAGTCCTTCATGATACGTTTGTGAAAGATGAAATTCCTGAGACAGCAAGTCAATGATACAAATAAAATTTGTGGAGTAAAAGAACATCATCCCAGAAATGATAACAACATGAAAGGTTAAAGGGAGATTATGAAAACAAGCTCTATAAACACATGGCACACAAGAACAAGTATATTTTCATCATAATCACTGTGAGAGTCTAACCATATCCATTTTTCTCTCAGAACCCTTTTTATTTCCGTTATTCTAGTTAATGAGTGTCCCTCCTTGAATAAAGGCCCACGAAATATTTAGTGGTTAATGTTACAATGGAAAAAATGTTTTAGATTTTATGTTTTCCTTAGAAAAAAGTTGATTCCTCGCATTAATACGATATTGTTCAATCTAGGTCAAGCCTTCACGAACTTGTTTTTGGGCACCTCCTAAAAGGCCTCATACTAATGGAGTTAGGTTGACCTAGTTATTTAGGTCTCTCCTTCCTTTTTCTCAGCAGTGCGAGAAGGGGTTTGCACCCTAACAAACCTCCCCTCAAACCCAAACCACACAATCCCGTGACCTCCCCTCAAGCGTCTATTTGTTTTTTATCTACCACCATCTTGCATAGCCACAACAACCTGCGGGACACGCCGCCTGCCCGACCATTTTTCTTGTCGGGAAGCCTTTTGACACAAGGTACTACTTCGGATTTCCACTCCACTATCCCCGAGATCACCTTCTGGTTCTGTGTCTACATTGTTAACTCTGCACAACAGAAGGCACCATCCGCAGCCCTCCACACAACACCAGGCATCATCCACCTACTCCCGTTGACACACCATCACGCCGTGGACTCCCCGCACAACACCCGGAACATCTATTCTCTCGTCCCTCTCCTGTTGGCCACTGTCACTCTAAGAACTCCATACACGTTGGTCTACCACTCCGTCTCTCTGAAACTTGGTTTTGATACCACATGTTGCGAACATGCATACCTACCCCAACCCTCACGGATTTATTTTTGGGTACTTACCAAAAGATCTCATACTAATAGTTGGGTTAACATATTTATTTAGGTCTCACCTTTCTTCTCTCTATAGTGCGAGATGGGGTTTGCACCCCAACAACCAACAACAACCCCGGTAAAAAAATCCCACATAGTGGGGTTTCCACTTGATTGACAGATATCCATTTTTGAACCAGGTTCTTGAATAGGGTAAAGCATGTGTACACATACCCTCCCCAACACACCCTCCCTAAACCTTACTTTCTGTGGAAACTTATCGTGTTTGTTTGTTTTTTATGGGTAAATCTAGTAGCGACTAAGAAAGATGATGCTCAAATTGTTGTGACCTATACCCAATCAATGATTTCGAATAGATATGGCTTCCCTAAAGCTTTTATAAGTAACAGGGATACCATCCACAAACAATTGGATAGGCAAAAAAATTCTAAGAAAGAAATCTAAGGAATTTTAGAAAAAGTCCCATGGCACGATAGGAAATGTTGGAGTAAACAATTTGATGAATCCTTGAGCTAATTGGACTGCCTACAAAACTCTTTAAGGCATGTCACCTTATAGGATAGTTCTTGGCAAAGCATGTCACCTCTTAGTGGAGCTGGAACATAAATTATTTTAGGCCATTAAAATGGTAGAGGAACTCAAGACACAAAAGTTGGAGGAACTTAGGCTGGAAGTTTATGACAACACTGTTGTTTACAAAGGCAAAGCTAAAGCATTTCATGAATAATTGTATTCGCATTTGTTAAATACTTGTATTTTCCCTTGTTTAACTCTAGAAAGAGTAGTAAATGTTTATTTGTTTCGCTGCAATAACAAAGATGATGTTACTGATAAGTAGCTTGTATGGGTCAATTGGAAAAATTTTAGTCCTAAATGGCTTTCAATTGGCACTAAAATGGGGATAGAAAGAAAATTATAGGGCAAGGTGAGTGTACGCAGACCTTACTCATAGGTAGAAAATACAGAGATTGTTTTCAAAAGACTTCCGACTCAAAACTAAATCAAAACGGAGCTAAAAGAGTCATTGTTGACAATATTTTGGGGTAGGGAAAATAATAGACTAAATCGAAATGGCACATTACACTTCTCTTGCTTCTTACTTTCCGTGAAGTATGGGATAGTAAATTCAGTAATGCATCATGAACATAAGAGATATGCAGACTAACGGGTAAGAGTTGAGCTTTTTTTACCACCATACACTTTTCCACTAAAAGGAACAGATTTTTCCCCATTGAACTCAGTTCTCCCAGTGGTGATCCATCTTATGGAATATGATCCCTATCTCCAGGGGAAACACTTTTCCCCCATTGAATTTTAAATAGAATATGTTGCACTAGTAGAATTTGCAGGATACAAACCTGGGACACCTCAGTGGCCCAGTAGGGATTTAGACAGCATTCGAGGACAAAAACTACAGTACGATTATAGCATAAACGCAATAGCAAAAAAATAAATAAATACAAAACACTTTGCAAATGTTTGGATTCACATAGAAATATAAGCAGTGATTATGCAGAAAGAGCATAGTGTTTTGCCTGTGCTTCTTTCGTTGGGGCTAGGGGCTCCCATTGGCTCTTAGAATCTGGATCGTTGATAGCCGCGATTGAAAACTGCAAATTCGAAAATTGAAATTTATTATTATAAAAGAGAGATAAGGGAAAGCGGAAGATTATAATACTGCACAGGAATTAGCTGAAATTAACCAAAAACTCGCAACTCACCATTGTCGTGGCTGAAGCGGAGCTGAGCTCTTAGCAATTTCGCCTGCAACCTACAGAAAAATGTGGAGGGGAAAAGTGGGAAACATTTCTCTCCCTCCGTTGCACCAAAAAAAACATGAGGGGTGTGCATAATTTGGTAAATAGATCGAACTGAACCGAAACCGAAAAATTTAGTACGTACCGAAACCGAATCGAATAATTCGGTTCTCATATTTTAAAAAAATCGATTTTCGGTTCGGTACAAAATTTGGAACCGGTATTTTGGTAAAAACCGAATACCGAAATTATTTACGGAGTAATACTTATGTATAATTTTATCCATTGCTACTGAATTCAATTCCCAATATTGAAATAAGGAATATCCACCCCACTAATTTTAAGTCCTATTATCTAAATTTGGAGTTATTTAAGATTGAAAATCATGAAAGCATCAAATTAATAATACTGGTAAATGTTTTTATATTTCGGAATGGACAATTCTGTTATTTGTATCAACTATTTTGTTTAATTTATGTAATGGTTCTAATTGTGCTGCTTTATTTTAATTTTGGAGTGTGTAATGAACTTATATATAATGGATTATGCTTTGTTATTTTCAATTTGGAGAATGAAATGAATTTTTTAAAGTTCAAATTTTGGTTTATGTTCGGTTTTTGGTAAAACCGATTACCAAACCGATTTAATTTGGTTTTTACCGAACCGAACCATTTGATTTCGGTTCGGTATTTGGTACAAAAAATAAATTACCGAATTTTCGGTGTACCAAAATTTTGGTTTGGTTCGGTTCGGTTTTACCGAATGAACACCCCTAAAAACATCCCACCTCCAGATTTAAAAATTAAAAAAAAAAAGAAATAGCATCTAGGATGTAAATTAAATTTTAATCACAAATTAGTGATAATAATGGCTAAATAAAATCAGTTTCCACAAATTACTGACAATAATGACTAAGTATCACCAGTACTCCTCCAAGTAAGGTTTGTAAAATAGGCATCCTAGTTCAGTACTCTCATTATTTTCAAAACTTAATTCTAAGATCTTATTGGTTTTAAAACGTTACACTCATGCCTCCTCTAATCATTTTTCGATCATTGTTTCGACAAATAAAGGGGCATTAATGCGTACTACCTCCGTCCCGGTGTATTTGTCCAGTTTGACTATTTCGAGTCAAACTGGACAAACTTTGAATTCTAATTAGTTTCAATTTATATTATATATTAGCATAATGAAATACAATTTCGAAAGTTATCAATACGATAAATCCAATAAAGACATTTTTATGTTAATATATATTAAGAATTTTATTTAATTGAAACTCAAAGTTTGTCCAGTTTGACTCGGAAGAATCAAACTGGACAAATACACTGAGACGGAGGGAGTATTTTCTAAACTATATGGAGTACTGGTGCTCTTTTTTTGTTTCTCGTTTAATTTTTGTTTTTTCATTTTTCCTTTATTTTCTCTTTTATTAATCAAAAGTTTTAAAATTACTTTTATAATATTCATAAAATTAAAGAAGGGGTATTAATGCAGATTGTCTAAACTATATAGAGTACAAGTGCTCTTTTTTTATTTCTCGTTTAATTTTTGTTTTACCATTTCTTCCTTTATTTTTTTATTAATCAAAGTTTTAAAATTATTTTTATAGTATTCTTAAAATTAAAAATTATTTTTGTTTGGAAAAATTAACATTTATTGCATGTGTACTTCTCAAATTAACAATTTTTGTTTTTATTTTCCAAACAAAGTATTTTTTTCTAAAAACTTCAACAAGTGAGGAATAAAATAAGAAATAAAATAAAATAAAAAATAAAGTGAATATCCTTTTTGGACATCCCAATTCTAAAGACTTTTATAAACATTCCTAAAATTTCTTTTGTATAAAACTCTTCTTTGCATGTTTTAATTTTTTTTCATTTCGTTTTTCTATGTTTCAATTTTTTATTTTGGATTTTCTTTTTGAACTTTTCAAAAGATTATTCTAAAAAATAAAAAGTGAAAAAGTTTAATTAGAGATAGATGTAGGGTATCTTAAATTTTTCTATTTTTATTTTTATTTCAAACATAAAGAATTTTGAGTTTTTTAAAAGCATTATAAAAAGCTAAAAAGAAATTATAATAAATTATGAAAAGGAAACAAAGAGATAAAAAAAGTTTTAAAAAAGGAAACCCCAAATTATAAACAGAAAATAAGAAAATGAGTGCGAATGTCCTCTATGGTATAGAAATTAGGCGTCAATGTCCCTCTTCGCCGCAAAATGGATGCAAAAGGATTGGAGGAATGTGAGTGCAATGTTTTGAACCCACGTAGACTTTAGAAATAAATTTTGAAAAAAGAGAAGGTACTTGTGTCACTTTTTTCAAACCGTAGGGGGCACTAGAGCTATTTGGCCGACAAATAATTGAGCGTGCACATGTACTATATATATATATGTGTGTGTATGTATGTATGTATGTATATATATATTGTAATGCCCTGAAATATACCCTAAAATTTCATAATGAATTTTTAATAAATTGCAATTCTAATTTTTGTTTAAATTAAATAAATGTCAAATGAAAATGTTAAAATAAGATATTTGAAGAAGAATCTTTTAATCATCAAGATTATACTCGAATCGAATGCCTCGGTAGAACGAGCTTGACGACATGTCCCGCGTACGAATGTGACTTACGAAGGTTAGTGGTTTGGCCGTCCGAGACTGAAAATATTATAAAAAAACGAATAAAATACAAATATGATGTAAACATAATATTATCCCACGAAATTTAGGTTTTCGGATAGATCTCGAGAAAAGGTGACCAACGACATACTAAATGTCAAGTTTGGAGTTTTGTGTAAACCGTGATGAACGAAACAGTCAATATAGTTTAGTAAATTAACGTAAAGGGATTTAATAATAATAATAATAATAATAATAATAATAATAATAATAATAATAATAATAATAATAAAAATAAATAAGGGAAAGGAATGGATATGCGTTAGGCATAGGAGTGAGCAAGGACCGAACCGATCCCTATATTTCCCGAAAAAACGGAGAATGTCGAACTGAAAAATACCGAACCGATAAAGTACCGAAAAAACCGAACCTTACCAAACCGAACAGTCGGTCCGGTATTTGGGAATAGTACGAGGTTACTTCCCATACCGAAATTCTCGAACCGAACATATATATACTAATATATTATAAAAATAATAATCTTTTTATATTTCTTCATTAAATAAAAAATTTATATAGACAATTTAGTTTAATTCCATTATGTTTAAGTTGCACTTTAATAAGAGTTTTTTATTTTTTGTAGATGAGAATAAAAATATTATCAAATACTCCATCCGTCCCCTTGTATTTGTCCACTTTCATTTTTGCACACCATCCAATGCACTTCTTTAATCCATTTTATCTTGTAATTTGTATATTAAAAAATTATAAAAATTATATATTAATAATCTATATGTTAAGACAAATCAAACAAGATCACACATGACTATATTTAGACTTACACATTGAGAGAATTTGATGAGTCAAAGTGCTTAGATAAACAGTTCCAATAGTCAAATGTGAACAAAAACAGGGGGACGGAGGAAGTATTTGAAATAATACTTTTTTATCACTTGTTCTCTTTAGTTTGTGAAATATTTTCATAAGAATTTCTTGTATTTTATTTTTCCTTTTTAAATTTTTTATCTTTCTTTGGTTAAATTTAGTTTCAATTTTTCAAGAATAAAAGGTTTTGTTGCATTTTATTTTATGATGTAAACTAGGTATCCCAATTCATTTCTAAACGGAATCATCCCGAATGAACCATACAGAACGGATGCTTCTGCAGTTCTGGATAGATCTGGATGGGTACAACCTAAAATCTACATTTCTTCTTCGATTCACACAAGCCACGCCAGAGGGGAGTTCGCCAGACATCGCCAGAGTTGTCGCCGGAGGTTGGACACGAATCTTCGCCGGAAAACCTGCCGGAGCTTCGCCGAGGATTCGCCGGTGTAATTTGAGATTTCTAAGCCGATTCAAGGTGAGTGATTTATCTCTTGCTAGAGTTAATTCATAGATTAGGGTTCGTCGATTTATTTTGGTGTAACTGATGATGAATTTTTGAATTGAATTGTGGAATTAATTGATTGATTTAATTGAATTGAATTGGGAGTTTGTATCGTTCTTGCTCGGTTCTGCTCTATTGCGTTCTTCTGCCTTTTCTCTGTCCTTTTCCTCGCTCTGTTCTGTTCCTCGTCCATCTGCTCTGTTCTTTTAATCGGTTGCTACTCCCTCTCTGTGCTGCGGATACCCGGAGGGAGAAGTCACTGCCGCCGGACTGGTGCTGGGCCGCCTGTGATTTGCTGCTGGGAACGGAACAGGAAGTTCGTCCTGTTACCATTGGAGGAACTGTTCCGCCGCTGCTGTTTTGGCGTGGAACTGCTGGTCGCTGCCGGAGTCGCTAGGATGCCGGCCAAGTTCCTGCTCGCCGACGGGAACTACACGAAGAAGATGCATGTCGTAATGCCCAGATCCAAGGTTTTGAAAGGCGAAAACGAGCCTCGAGGCGGTGGACAAAATTGCCTTGAGGCGTAAGCCTCAAGGCGGAACGAGGCGTAAGCTTCAGTTCTGTTTGAAAAAAACAAAGCTAAAATGAATACTCCATGGTAAAAACAGAATACATAATCCATAATCATGATGCTGAAATCTAAAGGCTTCAATTCCTGATTTTTGCAAAAAATAATACCCAATCTTAGTTTTTAAAATACAAAAAAATAAGAAGAGAGAATTACTCTAAAAAATTTAAACAATAACATAAAACGAAAAGTCACAAATGCCTCAAATCTGCCTTCAAACATGATAAAATGAATAAAGTTTCATGATTTTTACTTCATAACCAAAATTAGACAAGTTTATTTCCACTATATAATACAATGAAATTTGTAGTTAAGCGACCTTCATACGAATCACATGGATGAAGAGGGAGTGTAGTGCTGGGAAAAGGGACAGAAAATTGAAGTTGGAATAAAAACTTAAAATTTTTTGAAGGTGAAGTAAATAGAATATGAAGCAATTTTTGTCTATAAAAAAGAATATGAAGCAATTATCTTATGAAAATGGAGAGACCGAAGGAACCAAAGGTGTGTCGTAGATGAGGTGTGCTAAAGTTGAAGAAGATGGAGAGGCTGAAGTATTGTGCGAGAGAAGCTGCACTGTGCTAGGTTGAAGATGGAGAGGCAGAGGTACAAGTAAAAGAAATCCTAATTTATCAAGTGTAAGAAGTTTTTAACAAAAATATAATGTCCAAGATTCTTTTTAAGGCCCAATTGCTTTGTACGGAGCATCATTTAAACCATAGGTGCTGAAATTTTAATTTGAAGTGAGGCTCAATTTCGCCTCACCGCCTCAGCTGCCTCATACCGCCTCGGCCTCGCAAGGCGTACGCTTCACATACCCTTACCGAGGCTTACGCCTCTGAGGCTTAAAAGGCCCGCCTCACCGCCTTACCGCCTCGAACGCCTTTTAAAACCATGCCCACATCGGAGACAACATTCAGTTTTTAAGGAATTGCAATTGACCCTATAATTTTTAATTGGTTGCAACTAGTTCCCTTTTTACAATTTGATGCCAAATAAAGCAATGAATACAAAATAGCCGAAAACTTCTAAACTAGTGAATTGAGGATATTTGTGTGTTGAATTGAAAATATGGAAATAGGCCATCCGGTATATCTAGGAAGGTCTGAGTTAAAGCAAACTCACAAGGATTAAATGTTGGGCGAATTGAGTGTGGAGGCTCGACCAAGAAGGGCAGCCGGCCCTAGTCTTGGTTCGACCCATATGGCAGTAAATTAGGTTTTTTAATTTAGTCGGCCCTAATTCTCTATGTGGGCTTGGGCCTAACATGGGGATTAAGTTTTCAACCCTAGTTTAGTCTTCATAAATAGCGATCTCTATACTTGTAATTCTGTGAGCACTTGGATAATAAAAACCCTAGTTGCAAAGTGGATTAGGTCAGCCGACCGAACCACTATAAGTCTTGTGTTCCATTTTCTCCGTTTTGATTTCTGTTTTGTGTGTGTTCCTGTTTGTTTGTGGTTTGCTATTTAGTATTCATAGATACCCCAACAACTGGTATCGGAGCCTTAAGTTCGTGATCATTAAAGTCTTCCATTGGGTTTGTGGAGATCAGGTTCAAATCAAAGATTAGGGTTTCGAAGGGTTTGAAGATCAGTTCTGCCACCGTCATAGTTTCCGCTGCAGAATACGGTCTTGTGAACATTAACCATGCCGCTACTGCTAGGGTTTTGTTTAACTCCCACCACTAGGGTTCCGAATAGCCGCTGCCAAGGTTAGTTCGTTATTGGTTTTTTCAATCTCAGATCAGTTTTTCAGCCGTGTATGGAAACAATGGCAGATGAAAAGATAAAGATTGAAAAGTTTGATGGAAGTGAATTTGGGTTTTGGAGGATGCAAATCGAGGATGTTCTTTATCAGAAAGACTTATACCAAATGTTATCGGGAGAAAAGCCAGAAAAGATGAGTGATGCAGATGGGGCGATTTTGGACAGGAAAGCTTTGGGAGTGGTTAGGTTGTCATTGGCGAAGAGTGTTGCTTTCAACATAGTCAATGAAACAACTACACATGGGTTAATGAAAGCTTTGTCGAATATGTACGAGAAACCCTCAGCATTGAACAATGTGTTTTTGATCAGACAGTTGGTTAACACCAGAATGAGGGAGGGTGCTTCAGTTACCATTCACATCAACCAGTTTAATTCGGTCATAACTCGGTTAGGATCAATTGGAATTAAGTTTGATGATGAACTTCGGGCGTTGCTGCTTTTATCTTCTTTGCCTGACAATAGTGATGATGTGTTAATCTGTAGCGTAGAGAGTAGTATAGATTCCTGGGTGATGGATTCTGGTACATCTGTTCATGTCACACACAACATGAAGATGATGAAGAATCTGAAGATTGGGGACTTTGGTAAGGTACGACTTGGTAACGATGAAATTCTGGATGTTACGGGCATGGGGGATATTGACTTGAAAACTTCAGTTGGAGCCACTTGGACTTTGAAAAACGTCAGAGTCATTCCAAGCTTGAAGAGGATGCTTATCTCAGTTGGGCAGTTGGATGATTCGGGTCTTGATGTT